GCCCCCGCGGAGGGGCTCAGGCGCGGAGGGCCGGAGCGTGAGTGCTCGCCGGGCGGGGGCGGCGGGGCGTGCGGCGCGATGCGGGAGGGCCGGCGGGACGCTCCCAGCCTGGCCTGCCCCGCAGGGTCGATGCGCGGATGCGGCGGCGGGCGGCGGCGGCGGGGCTGGGGGCTGCCGGGTGCCTGGCACGAGCGGGGCCTCCCGTGCCCCTGGCCTCCTGCGGCGGGGCGGGGGGCTTCTGCTGCGGCCCAGGAAAGGGCTCGCCCTGGCGGAGCCCGCGGGCTGAGCAGCTCCCCAGCCGGCGCCTGCTGCGAGGAGGAGGCTGTGGGCGCCCCCTTGCCGCTTTCCCGGGCTCTGGACCCACGGCCCGGCCCCGCTCGGGGGCAGCAGGCTTAGGAAGGCGTGTGGGGCTTCACCCGCTCCTGTGCGTGGGCCTGATCCCCCCTTCTCTCGCCCCCTCGCAGAGCACCGACCTCTTTGAAATGATTGAAAAGATGCAGGTGAGTTCGTCTCCCAGGCCAGCCGCGGCTTGCGCCCGTGTCTGGAGCCACGCAGGGGGGTCGGGCGGCCCTATTCGTCCGGGGGGGTGCTGTGGGAAGATGCGTTTGGGCCACGTGCGGTGCCGATTCGTCCCTCCCCTGCACACAGATGGGGGTTTCTGGGGGGCGGGGCAGGAGAGCAGGAAAGAGGCTGCGGACTTGCCTTGACATCAAGCGCCGTAACCCGTCTGCTAGGAACCGGGCTGTGCCCATTTGATGGTGAGAAACATTCAGTGCATGCTCAGAGGCATGCCTTTGTTTCATCGGAATGCCAAGAAATTTGTTCGGTGCAGAACCCAGCCGCTGATTTCGGGCCTGGGTGTGGGGAGCGGGGGGCACTGGGGGGCTTGGCAGCGGCACCCCACACCGGGCAGAGGGGGCGCCTCCCTCCGAGGCTGAGCCTGGCCTTGGGGACACCAGGGGGTGCCTGGCCCGGCTTCTGCAGCCCGGCCTGGCCCGGCCCTTCCCCGACTCCTCCTGGGGCCGCGCTGCCAAGCAGGATGTGTCCTCTTCCCCCACCCCCAAGGCAAACCTGCCCTTGGCTGGCCGCCAGCCCAGCATGGCCTGAGCCCGCCCGTCTCTTCCAGGGGAGCAGGATGGACGAGCAGAGATGCGCGCTCCCGCCCAGCGTGAAGGTACGTGCCCCGGAGGGAGCCGGGGGTCCTGCTGCCCCGACCTCTGGGCTGCTGCCCGGCCGAGCCACCCCCACCGGCCACGGCTGCCCTTCTGCCCCCAGGGGTGACCACTGGGCAAACAGGTGCCCGCCCATGTGGGGGCCTGAGGGGCTCTTCCAGGATACTTTGGGGGGGTGAGGTCCACAGGCTGGCCCCTCGGGCATTTGGGGTGGGCGGGGGGGTGGCTGTGCTGGCTGGGACGGGTGGCCTGCCCGGCTTCGCGGGGCCCTGAGGGGGTTCTGCGGGCTCTGCTCTCCCCGCCGTGGCTTGTCCGGAGCCCCACGCCTGGACGGCTACTGCCCCTTTCCCCCACGTGGGCGCCTGGCGCCGGTTGCAGGAGAACGGTGGGGCTTCGTGGCTGGCAAGGGCCCCGTCCGGGCCTCCACTGGCCACCCGGAAGGCCTTCGCTCCCGGAGCGATCCCGCTCGGAGCCACTGTGGGACCGCCGGAGCCCGGAGCCCTTCGCCTGCTGCGTCGTGCCCTTTTCTCTTGCAGGCGCTCGGCTGCCGCCTTCCGCTCGGCTCCCGCCAGGCCCGTGGAGCCAGCTCCCGTGGGTGGAAGGGAAGGTGCTCAGCGGCCCCCAAGCCGTGGCTGCTTCGTTGCAGCCCTGTGGGGACATGGCAGCCGCTGCTTGCAGGGACGGGGCGGGTGTGGGGGCGTCGGGATGGGCACGCGCAGCCTCTTCCTCCCCCCACATGTGACCTTGCCACGCACTCTCTTTCGCAGACGGAGGAGGACTACATCCCCTATCCGAGCGTCCATGAGGTGAGGGACACCCTGCCAGCTGCTGCATCGCAGTGGAGGGCCTGGTTGGGGCTAGGTGGAGCCTCCATGCTTAGGGGCAGTCTGTCTGGGCAGTCTGGTTGCTGGGGAAGCACAGCAGGGGGGAGAGCTTGCCCTTGGGTCTCGCTGGGCTTCCGGAGGCTGGCTGCGGGCAGGACTCCGGTGCACAGGCAGCCTTGCCGGCCCGGGAGTGGGGAGTGCTGGGGTCCCCCAGCCAGGGAGCAGCGCTCTTCGCCCTGGGGCATCTCCAGCCCTGTGCTGGGGCACATCCGCCCCCGAAATGAGGTGCCCCCCTTGCCGAGGCTCGCAGGCCCCCACGGCTGCCCCGGGTCCCGGCTGCTTGGGCCCACCAGCTGCTGCGCTTCTCCTCTGCCCAGGTCCTGGGCCGGGAAGGCCCCTTCCCCCTCATCCTGCTGCCCCAGTTCGGGGGCTACTGGATCGAGGGCACCAACCACGAGCTGCCCGGCCTGGCCGAGGCGGAGCTGCCGCAGTCGCCGCCCTCCAAGGTGAAGCTCGAATGCAACCACATGGCCGGCCTCTACCGGAAGCACTTTCTGGGCAAGGTGAGAGCTCGCACGCCTCCGCACCCCCGGCCGGCTTGGCTGGGCCAGGGCGATGGGCCTTGCAGTCCCGAGCGACTGAACCATGAGGGAAGGCTCTCCCGCAGGTGCCTCCCCAACACCCGCCTTGCTGCCTTGAGCGGCACCGTGTGGCTGCCCGGCCTTCTCGGAGGAGCCCGTGTGTGCCGAGGGCGAGGCTCGGCTGTGCCAGGAACGGCCTGGGATCTCTTGCCGGGGAGCCAGGTGCCGCGCCCCCTTCTGCTCCCCTGGCCGCTTCCTTCCCTCTTGGAACACCAGAACAGAACCCCAGAACGGGGTCAGGAGAGGCCTCGGGTGTACTGAATGTTTCCTCCTCCCTGCCAGCGCGGCTTCCTCCTGTGTTGCGTCACTTTTGTTTGTAAGCTTGAAGCGCAGGGACCGTCCTGTTCTATGGATTGCATAAAGCTGCTCAGTGAACTATTTGCCAAGGCTGAAGCGCAGCGTGAAAGCAGCCAGGCGGCGCACGCCCTTCGGGGGCCCTCTCCTCCGGCTGCGCTGACCCGCGTCTCCCTCCTGCCTCCAGGAGCACTTCAACTACTACTCTGTGGACGCCGCGCTCGGCCACCTGGTTTTCTCCCTCAAGTACGACGTCATTGGGGACCAGGAGCACTTGCGGCTGCTTCTGCGGTGAGCGGGGGAGTCCTGCGGCTGGGGGGCGCTCGTGGGGCAGGGTGGAGAGATCCCCCCCGCCTTCCTGCACGGACCTTTCGGTCTGGTTCGGGGCGAGATCTGGCGCGCCGGTCGCATGCGTCACCCGCCGGCCCTTTCCCCGCAGGACGAAGTGCCGGACTTACCACGACGTGATCCCCATCTCATGCCTGACGGAGTTCCCCAACGTCGTCCAGATGGCGAAGGTGAGCGCGGGGGGCCGGGGGGGCTGTGCCAAAGCAGAAGGCCGGCCCTGCTGGCCAAGACAAGGGCTTCTGTGGCACGTCTCCCGCCGGGACGGCCAACGGATCCGGCCGGGGAGCTCGCTCTGGCATGACCTCCAGGTGGTTGCCCTGCCGTTCCCAGACGGCTCCCTCGATCCGCCCCAGTGTGCTCTTCTCCTCCCAAGGCCGGGCTCTGGGCTCCGGAGGGAGCCCCCAAATCCCCGGCCTTGTGAGAGGTGCAGGGGATGTGCCAGCCTGGGGCTGCTGGCCCGGGACGGACAGACGGCCTGCTTGGCAGAGCAGGACGCGGCAGCCCCCAAATCGTCTCTTGCTTCCGCTGCAGCTGGTGTGCGAGGACGTGAACGTGGACCGCTTCTGCCCCGTCCTGTACCCAAAGGTAGGGGCAGGGAAGATCGGGGGAGGGGCTGCCATGCCTCCTCCTGGCGGCTGCGCGCCACACACGGCCCCGATCCCAGAAGAAGAGCAGGGGGCGCGCAGGCCGGCCCCACTTGCACTGTCTCCTCTGCTCGCTGCAGGGGTTGCCGGAGGAGGCAGGGCCGTTCCAGGGCCACCCTGCGCAAACGCTTTCCTCTTCCCCCCCACCCCCCCGTCCCTGTTTCCTTGCTATTCTAACCTGCAGGCAGGGGCTGTTGCATTCCTGTGCCTGTATCTGGGGCGCTCCAGCAGCCATTTTTGACCGAGGAGTGTGATAAGAGCCCTCCGAGCCCAGCTGGGGGGCCTGAGCTCCCCATCCCGGAGTTTCAGAGGGTTCCCAGAGCCGCTCGGGGGAGGGATTTTGCAAGGGGTGGAGGTGCAGGCCGCCCCCTTCACCCCCCTCTCTCCCCCCACCCCGCAGGCTTCCCGCCTAATCGTGACCTTCGACGAACACGTCATCAGCAACCATTTCAAGTTTGGGGTCATCTACCAGAAGCTGGGCCAGGTGGGTGCTGCTCGTGGCCCAGGAGGGGAGGCTGCGGGGGGCTGGGCTGAGCCAAGCCCAGGTCGAGTCCCCCTGAGCCAGGAATCTCCCTGCGGGGAGGGCAGGGCAGGGCAAGGGAGCCCCTCTCGGCCGCAAGGTGCGCCAGGTCCCCTGAACTGACCCACGGCTGGGCCGGCCTCTGTCTGCGACCCGCCCGCAGGACCCCCAGGGCTGGGGGGCTGTTTCCACCCCCGCCTGCACCATCGGTGTGTCACCGACTGGGACCCCAGTTCCTGCTCCTCTGCGGAGCCCTCTCCACAAACAGACGCATCCTTTCCCTCAAAACGTAGCGAAAAGGGCCCCCCCCGGATCCCCTCCACCAAACTGCCTGGGACCGCGGAAGCTGCAAAACAGCAGAGGGGCCGCTGGGGCTAGCCCCTGTGTGTGGGGGCGGTCCACCCCTTTCCCTCGGCATCTCCTCCTCCTGCTCTTTCCACCCCAGATGTCAGATGCGACCCCCCCACCCCGCGGCCTGTCACACCCGAGTGAACGATCAGCCTGACAGCCCCCTGGGGCCGCACGCCACCGCACGCCCCCCCCCCCCGCACAGCATGCGCTCCGCCTGTGTGACGGCAGCCTGTGGAGGCAGCGTACGCTCCGCTCGCTGTGACGCCCCCCTCTCTGGCTCGCAGCGTGCGCTCGCTCCACCTCGGGAGGCAGGACGCGGGTGCCTTGCTGGGCACGGCTCACGGAAGCATGAAAGGCTCCGGCTGACAAGCGAGTCTGGGGTGGGGGGGCGGGGGGAAGGGGGGTCTGATCTCTCTCTCAGAAAGCCCCACCCTGATCACCGACGCTGCGGCCCGACTTTGGCTTTGGGGAGGCCCCACCGGTGTGTGGCCTCGGCCAGATTGCAAGCCAGACAGCGGGGATGCCTTGACCTCAGACAGCCCCCCGACCCCTCCAGGAGTCGCTCCAGGTTGGGGAGGCCGCCTGAATGCATGGGCCCCTTTCCCAGGGGAGGCCCCCCCTTGCTTGCAGCGGTGAGGCGGCACGTGACCCTTGGACAACCTTTAGGCAATGGAAAAGAACCGTAAGAAGCAGGAACGCTTTAGAAGGATGTAATTTTAAATATCGATAGCCCTGGGGAGCTTCTTCTCCAGGGGCGGGCACCGTTTCAGCTGCAGACGCAGGTGGCAATCCCCTCCCTGCCCGCACCTGGGAGCTGGTCCAGCCACGTTCAGCGTCCTCCCTTCGAGGCGGACTTGCCTAGATTGCGCCCTGAAGAGGTGCCGATGAAAGCGCAGGGGCCAGCGGAGGAGATGGGACTTTCCTCCTGGGGTGTCTGCCGGGCTGCAGCCGAGAACTGGGCCTGATCCACCCAGGCCCCTCAGGGCCCGGTCCATGTGGGCATGAGAGACCCCTGGCCCTCCCTCTCTCCGCAGACTTCAGAAGAGGAGCTCTTCAGCACCACGGAGGAGAGCCCGGCCTTTGTGGAGTTCCTGGAGTTCCTGGGCCAGAAGGTCAAGCTGCAGGACTTCAAGGGGTGCGTGGACGGGAGTGCCCCCCCACAGCTGCCCAGCCGGGCGCCGTGGGTTGGCACGTGCCCCCGCGAAGTGGCAGAGCCACACTGGCACCCCGGCCGCGCCGGGAGAGGAGAGCCGCTCTGAGGCCGCTCTCGCTCGCTCTGGCGCAGGTTCCGGGGCGGCCTGGACGTGACGCATGGGCAGACGGGCACCGAGTCAGTCTACTGCAGCTTCCGGAGCAAGGAGATCATGTTCCACGTCTCCACCAAGCTGCCCTACACGGAGGGGGATGCCCAGCAGGTGAAATGGAGGCGGGGACCCCGGGCCGCATTGGGGTCATGGGCTGTGGGCACAGCGGAGCGGGGGGTGGCCAGCCAGCTCCGGAGCGCCCACACTTGCTCGGGGCGCGTCTCTCCGTGCGCTTTTTGCACGGGTGTGTGGAAAGGGGCGCGTGCGCTGGCGGTGACCTGCCCCCTCTCCCCCCCCAGCTGCAGAGGAAGCGGCACATCGGCAATGACATCGTGGCCATCGTCTTCCAGGACGAGAACACGCCCTTCGTCCCGGACATGATCGCCTCCAACTTCCTGCACGCCTTCATCGTCGTGCAGGCCGAGAACGCCTGCTCCGCCCACACGCTCTACAAGGTGCCCGCTGCTCTCCGGGCGGTCCCGGCGTGGGGCCTCTCGGAAGGGGGACCTCTGGGGCCCCGCTCAGCGCCCGGCGTGGCCACGGCTGCCCAGATGTGTGGGGAGGAGCCGTGGGCAGGTGTCGGAGCAGGGCCGGGGCCTCCCAGGAGGATGGCGAGGCCCGCTGCCCTGCCCAGGCCTCGGAGGCCGGGAGCTGTGCGTCGAGGACGACGACGCGGGAAGCTCTCCAGCTGGCTCTCTCCCTGCGCAGGTCTCCGTCACTGCCCGGGACGACGTGCCTTTCTTCGGCCCCCCGCTGCCCAACCCGGCTGTTTTCCGGAAGGCAAGTCTTCCGCGTGGGGTCCCTCCCCGTCGCCCTCCTGCTGGGCCCTTTGCCAGGCTCCCGCAGGGGCGGGCCAGGCCCCAGGGGGGCCCGGCCCGGCCCGGGGGCGCCGCTGACCAGGTGTCTCGCGCAGGGGCCCGCCTTCCAGGAGTTCCTCCTGGCGAAGCTGATCAACGCCGAGTACGCCTGCTGCAAGGCGGAGAAGTTCGCCAAGCTGGAGGTGAGGGCTGCGCAGGGCTCCCCGGGCGGGCGGCGCGCTCCCCCTCCGGCCTGCCCCTGCCCCCCCCGCCCGCGCGACCCCCCCGCTCGCCCGCTCGCTCAGGCCCCTCTCGCCGCAGGAGCGCACGCGCGCCGCGCTGCTGGAGACGCTGTACGAGGAGCTGCACCTGCACAGCCAGGCCATGATGGGCCTGGGCGGCGACGAGGACAAGGCGGAGAACGGCGGCGGCGGCGGCGGCTTCTTCGAGTCCTTCAAGGTGAGCGGCGCCCCCGGCCCCCGCGCGGCGCAGGGCGCGATCCCGCGGCGCGTCCCAGCCCGACCCGGGCGGCGGCGGGGCGAGGGCCGCGGGGCGAGGACCTGACCGGCGCGCCCTCTCTCGCAGCGGGTGATCCGCAGCCGGAGCCAGTCCATGGACGCCGTGGGGCTGAGCGGCAAGAGGCAGAACGCCGTCTCCGCCAGCCACAGCGGCGGCTTCGGGCACAACAACCCGGACGTCGCCAAGGCCGCCGGCATAGTGAGTCCCCCGCCCCCCGCCAGGTGTCCCTCCGCTGCCCGCACCTGCGCGCCCCGCCCCTTCCCCCGGGGCCCCGGGGGCACCTCCTGGGCCCCGATCCCCGCCCCCGCCCCTGGACACTGCCCCCTCCCTTGACACGGCGCCCCCAGCGAGGCTTCGGGGGGTCTTCTCCGGGGCGGCTCCGCACTCAGGACCCCGCGGGCGCCCAGAGCAGCGTTGCCGGAGCCGGGTCGCGGGTCGGTGGCACCGCCACGTGGGGAGGGAAGCCCGCCCCGGTTCGGGCGAGTCAGCTGCACGCACACGCGGCCCAGAGAGCAGCCTGCCCCGGCTGAAGCCCCGGCGGGTCCGGTGACGCTCCGGCTGCTGGTTCTGCCAACTCCCCAAGGGCCCCACATTTCTGGAGGTGCCGCTTGGGATGGGGAGGGATGGGTCTGGCGCTGCTGAGAGGGAGGGGGAGGGCGGAGCTGGCCGCCCCCGGAGCTCCTCCTGCCGCGCCTCTCCGCGGCGCTGCGGCTGCGGGAACCGGTGCCGGTGCCGGTGCCGGGCGGCCTTGGGTGCGCTGCCCGAGGCGGCCGCACGATGGCGCCCACGCACCGGAGCTCGACGCCGGAGCGCCGCGCGGCCGAGCGGGCAGGGCGCCCCGCGGGGGGCGCGGAACCAGCAGGGGGGCAGAGCCGCCCTCGCCGCGCCCCCTGCGCCCCGCACCCGGGGGCCCCTTCCTCTGCTCCGAGCTGGGCAGCCGGGGGGACACGGCAGGCGGGCCGGTCCCACGACAGCCCTGCGAGAGAGGCAGGGAGGCTGCGGGCGCCCTAGCCACCCCAGGAGGTCGCAGCCGCACGTGGACCCGCACGACAGCCCCTCAGGCCACCTCCCGGGCCGCCCCCCGGCCTGCCCACCTCCCTGAGCTTTGCAGGCGCGGACACTGCTCGGGGGCGGCAGCGTGCAGTGTGCCAGCACCCACCCAGTCACCGCGAGGGGTCATGGGGGGAGTGCCCAGCTGGCCCCCCCCCCCCGGCCCATCCCTTCAGTGCTGCCGGGCCCAAAACCTGGGCCCGGCCCCCCGCCTGCTGCGACAGCCGCCCGGCCCACCCCGCACCTGGCTGCTCTGCTCCGCCTTGCCACGCCGGCTGCAGCGGCTGGACTGCCGACCGGCGCCATTCTCTTTGCATGACCTCTCTCTCTCTCTCTCTCTCTCTCTCTCTCTCTCTCTCTCTCTCTCTCTCTCTCTCGCCCCTTTGTGCCCCTTCCCTGTCTGTCTCCTCCTGCGCTCTGCTTTTCTCGCCCGCCTCTCCTCTCCGCCCGCTTGGCAGTCATTGCTTGTCCCCGGAAAAGCGCCAAGTAGATACGGACGTCGGGGCAGCGCCATAGGCATAGGAACCGTGGAGGAGGTTGCCGTTCGTTTTCTCTCTTCGCCGCCTCTTCCTTGCGCCCCCTCCCCGCCGCATGCCGGGGCCCCCGCCTGCCCACCCCTCGCCCTGGCCCCAGAGTAGCGACCGAGGCACTCTGCCCCTGCTCCAGCGGTGCGTAGACCCCCAACTGGGACAGGGAAGGACCCCACGGGTGGAACTCCTGGCCGCAGGGTTCCCGCAGGGTCCGTCGGCGGCTCTTGGCTGGCAGGCTCAGCTCCTCCGGGTCTCCTCCGGTTCGTGAGACCGCTTATTCTCCCTCCAGTTTGCAAGGGTTCTTTCTTGTGCAGGGGGCTGGAAAATCCCCTACCACCTGCTTTCCCAGATGGCCGTGCCCGGAAAGTTTGGTGTTTTCCCAGGGTTTCGGTCCTCTGCTCTGAAGCACCAAAGCCCAGTCTGGAGATGGTGCCCGGCAGCAGGAGCTTCTGGCTGGAGCCTGTGGGTATTTCGGCCTCACCCCCTTTGTGTGGCTCCGTCCAGCCCATTTTTGTCTTTTGGAGAGGGAGAATTACTCTCCTACTCCCAGTTTTTGGATAACCAAAAGTCAGATTTATGATGTATGGAATCCCCTCCTTTCCCCTCTAAATGGGATCCCCCCACCCTCCCAATTAAACTTGTGAAGAAGATTCGTGCACTTTTGAAGGCATCCGCCGGATGGTGGCAGGGCGAGGCCAAGGGTTCAGGCCAAGTTATTCATTTGTTCCAGCATAATCCAAATTGTCTGAGAATGTGGGGAAACTCCGTCTCATCTTTCCCAACGAGGAGGTTTTCCGGACAGAATACCCCAGAAACTCCAGCACTGCCCTCTCTTTTCTTTCTATTGCTTTTCACAAACAAGCCAGGATTGTAACAAACTGGATTTTCCTTCCTGGCTTGTTGGCCGCATCCTTCTCTTTGCAGGTGGCACTCACCTCTGCCACGAGAGGGGCTCAGTCCCTTGGGTGCTTTCCTGGGTGGGGGGCAGTGGACCTCAGGGTGGCTGTTGAAGTCTGCCCCCCCCCAAAGTCTAGAAACATCTTGTCTGCCCCGTTGAAAGCTCACTCGGTCGGTGGCTGCGTGGCCCTGCGTGGCCCGTCCCGGGTAAAGGCTGCTGCCCCCGCAGCCCTCCTGGGCTTGGGGTTGTTTTAATAAGGTTTTGGAGAAAACAGTGGCCGGAGCTTCTCGTGGGGGGGGGGGTGACCTCATTACCATGAATTATTAGTGCTCGTTGTGGTTGTGGTTGTTGTTTGATATTGTTGCCATATGGCCTGGATATCTCAGTCATCTGTTAAACACCCCAATTGCTTGGCCTTTTTTTAGAAGATAAATGTCATGTAGGCCCGAGGGAGGGGCGGGTGAGGAGTGGTCCAACCCCAACACTCCCTGCATCCCCCCGCCGTGCTTTCCATCCTCCCAGCTCACCGCTACCCAACCCTGCCTGCCCCCACCCAGCCCCCATACCTGCAGCCAGGGCACCCCAATTTCAGACGCGAGAACTCTGTCCCCCCCAGCCGTGAAGCGCCCGTTCCTTTGCATGACCCCGTAGTCCTTCCCTCAGCAGAAGATGCTAAAATGCACGGCAGTTTTGCTGCCTGTGTGAACCTGCACACTGCCCACCAGTCCCAAGCTGAGGCCCACGAACCGTGGGGTGCCAGGGCGGTCCTTCAGCGGCCTAAAAGCTGGCTTGCATTCCCACGGCTCCCCGGGGCGCCATGGGAAGGTCTGTGCTGGCAGGATCCCTGGCACCGCTACTCCTTTCCGAGCGTGCGCATGGCCCCTGTGCGCGCCGCTGTCCGATGCTCGGCTGCTGGGCGATGCCGGGGGGACTTGGCTCGCGTGCCGCTGTGGCGCATGTTCCCCACTGCCTAGGCATTTCTGAGGCGTGGAGCCTCAGAAACGGGGCGTCCCAGCAGCGCGTCGCTCCCCATTCCTGCCTTGCACCCACTCCTGGGGCAGGAGCCGGAACGCGGCTTCCCATGACGACGCCATCAGTCGCCGGTCATGCGCCTCCCTTCTCCCCTCCCCCCCGACGGGTCTGCCTCTCTTCCAGTCCCTGATCGTCCCTGGGAAGAGCCCAACGCGGAAGAAGTCGGGGCCCTTCAGCTCCCGGCGGAGCAGCGCCATCGGCATCGAGAACATCCAGGAGGTGCAGGAGAAAAGGTGCCGGAGGCGACGTGGGCCCGTCTCCCGGCTGCGTCGCTGCGGAGGCGCCCGTCCTGATCGGCCGTGAAAGCTCCGTGCGGCACACGGCCGGAGACGAGGGCGCGCCCCAGCCCGGCTTGAGCCCGTGAGGCTCACGGTGCCAGCAGCTGCGAGGCAAAGCCGGCGGTCCAGAACCCGGGCCTTCCGGGGGCCTTGCGCTGCAGCTCCCACCAGCCTCGGCTGGCTTGTTTCTGTGGGGGGATGGCCCCTCAGAGTTGGTGGGTTTGCTCTGGAGTGGACATGGGTGAGAGGTGAGGAAGCCCCCATGCCTCTCCCTGGGCAGAGACCCAAGCCCACCCTGCAAAGCCCTGGGCCGGCCGACAATTGCCTGCGTGCACCCCACAGAGAGAGCCCGACCGGAGCCCCGAAGGGCCCAGAGAGCGGCCACGTCTCCCAGGAGCCCAAGTCTGAGACCTCGTCCGACCAGAGCTCCCCTGAGCTGCCCACCACCAAGAACAGGTCTGTGGCAGGCGCCCCATTGATCCCGCACTGCAGGGCCGGCCTGGCAGGCCGCCAACCCCGGGCAGCTCTGCTGGCTGCGAGCGCTCCGGGAGAGGCCTCGGGATCCGTGGGCCACATGCCCACTCCAGCAGCTCGGGCAGCCGGCCGGGGCTTGGAGCGGCTCAGGCCGGCAGCTGCCGGAGCCGAGGCCAGGCGCGGAGGGGCCCCGATCACGGGGGGGGGGCGTCTCGGCGCTCACGGGGCTGCTCCCCCCCGCAGGCCGGACCCCACGGCCACCAAGCCAGAGGCCCTGCGGGAGTTCTCTCGCTCGTCGTCCAGCGCCAGCAGCTTCGGCAGTGGGGCGGAGGAGCACGAAGGAGGCCGCAAGGATGACGCCGGCCTGGTGAGGCGCCAAGGCTGGCCGGGGGGCTGGGGGGGTCCACCGGGGGTGCGGCTCCCCCGGGCCAGCTGGGGACGGGGAGGGCGTGTGGGGCGGGCGCCTGCCCACGGCAACGCTTCTCCCTCTGGGCCGCTGCAGGAGGGCCAGCCGCCGTCGGGCGCTGCGCACAAGCGCGACTCCTTCACCTACAGCACGTGGCTGGACGACAGCCTCAGCACGACCAGCGGGGGCAGCTCCCCAGGTACCGCTGCCCCCTGCCCTGCCCTGCCCTGCCCTCCCGCTCCCCGGGGAGGGCGGCGCATTGCTGGCGGGCTTTCCGGAGGAACTGGGCCTCGCAGGCTCCACATGGGATGCCACAACCGGCTGCCGGCAGGGCCTGGCTCGGGGGTGGCCCCCGACCCTCCTCTCCCCTGCCCTGCGAGGCCCAGAGCGAGGCGCAAGGCCTCCCAACCCCGCCGGCTTTTGACTTGGACCTCCTTTCCGCATGCCTGCGCTTCCCTCCGCCCCTCCAGGCCCTTCCCATTCTCCCCAGCTGGACCCCCAGACCTCCACGGACGCCCCCTGCCCGGAAATCAAGATCCAGCTGGAGCAGGCGGAGCGGCAGCCCCCTCCTCCGGTGAGTGGCTCCGCGGGGCCCCGGTGGCCCTTCTGTGCAGGCGCTCGCCCCTGCGGTCAGCCAGGCAGAGGGCCTGCTCGCAAAGGCCGTGGGGCTGCAGGAGGCGTGGCTTGCCGGGTCCCCTGGGCAGCTGGGTGACCCATGGAAGCACGGGGTCCAGCCCCAGTGGTCCCCAGGGGGTGCCCTCGCGAGGCTCCATGGGGGCAGAGCCGCGGTTGTAATGCTCGGCCCCCTTTCTGTGTGTCCGTCTATGCAGAGCTGCTAGCTCCCCTTCCTGGTCTCCACGGAGGTGCCCGCGGCAAGGTTAGAGCCGCGCTCGCGTTCGGGGGTCCCTCTGAGCTGCCCCACACGGGGTATATGTGTTCACTGCCCTTTCGCCTGGCCCGGGAGCAAAATAGGCTCCCAAAGCAGTTAAGGAAGAAAGGTCTTAAGGCAGTTGCTTGCTGCAGGGTTGAAAGATAGCACAAAAGGAAAGTGGGCATGGAGGGAGGAGGAAGAAGGCGGGTTCCGCGGGGGCGGGCAGGGCTGCCGGGGTTGCTGCCCGTCTGCGGGTCAAGGGAGAGCCGCTGCCCACCCGCTGGACCCGGAGGTGCCTGCAGCCTCTTCCCTGTGCTGCAAGCACCAGACACCTCCCCCAGCCCCGGCCGGCCCTGCTCCGGGGCACAGCGCCTCCCGGCCCCTCTGCGCCTGCGCTCATGAGGAGAGGCCCAGTCCTCTTTGCAGGGACGGCAGGGCGGCCCGGGGGCCCTCCCCCTTCGGCTGCGTGGCCTCCATGTTCAGGACTGGCTTTCCCCTCCAGGCCGCGCTCCTGCAGCGGAGGAGAAGAAGCACAAACGGAGGGGCCCGGAGGAGGCGCTGGCCCACGTCCTGCAGACTGTCTGACGGGCAGAACGGGGGGCCGCCTCGACGGGCCGCCTCGGGCTTCCGCCTCCCCGCCCGGCTGCTTCCAGGGAGGCCGGAGGATCTGCTGGGCAGGGGGTGCGGACCCCAGCCGGCCCGGCGGCTCCGGAGGCCCTCGCCCCAAGTCCAGCCCTGGTCCACAGAGGGGCTTGCGGTGGCCGTCGGCATCCCGGGGCAGACAATCACGGCGTGGCTGCTTGGAGGGTGCAGAGTGCGGGGGCTCACGGCTGTGGCCCGGGCCCCCAGTCCGGGGAGCCCCTTCGCCAAATCGCTCTCCAGGCCCCACAGCCCCTCTGCCGGCAGCCCCGGGCCGTGGCCTCTGGGCTTGCCGAGGGCCACGCCATCCTGCCCTGGGCCGTTCCCTCACAGCTGCCCTTCCAGCCAGAGCGCGGCCTCCCGTCCCTCCCGGGCTCGCCACCCCCCCCCCCGTGCCCTGACCCACGTGCCCCCCAGGCAGGCCCAGTCAGAAGCAGCTGCCTCAAAGCCCTGGGGACTGCGCGCCAGTGCCCGTTCCCTTCAACCCCAGCAGCCGCTCGGGGGAGGAAGCTGCAGCGGCTGCGCAGGCACGGGGGGCTTCATCGCGGGGCCCCATGCCCCCAGCGCGGGTCAGCTGCGGGCACGGGAAGTCCCCCCGGGCCGCACCAGCCTCTCCCGGACCTTCATCCCAAAGACTCGCCGACAATCTCTTCTCTCTGGGCCACACTGCACTGTGGCCCAGCGTGGCCGCGCAGTGGAGGATGGGCCCCTGCGCCCGTCCTTGCTGGGGCCGCGGGGCCACGGCCGGAGGAGGCGCTGGTGGCCGGGGGGAGGGCGGCCCGGGACAGCCACCAGCACCACGCTCTTCGCACCCCCCCCCCGTGCAACGGCGCATTTGTACCCGCGCAAGACCGAATTTGGGGTGGGGGATCTGGCCTGGATCTGCCCCGCCAGCTGGTGCCGGACCCCCCCAGCAACTTCAGACCCCCTTCTTCTGAGTGTGATAGATCGACTCCGCAAACACCTGGGCCTATTTCACATTGTGTTGTGTGTGTCCTGCCCCCCTCCCCTTTGTTTCGTTACTTTTGTTGTTATTTTTAAGAAATTTTTTTTAAGATGCACAGGATCCATGAACTTTTAAATCGATGTTCAGAGCTGCAGGTTTTCTTATTTTAAGGTTTAAACTCCAAGATTCGTGTCGGTGTTTCCAGTGTCATATGTATAAAAAATCTATTTATCGCTATTGTAAGAAGATTCTATTTGTAAAATGCTTTTTAAAATATAAAGGCGAGAAAAATAAAAGGAAGACTTGGACCTTTGGTCCCTCCCTGGGGGGAACGGCTTGTCGCTTATGGGGAAAATGCTGGGGAAATTTAAATGCTTATGGGGAAAATTCCTTAGAGTGTGAGCAGGCCTGCCGTGTATTACTATTGTGTGTATTAAAGTGGCGGACTGCCTCATAACCAGAGTTCTGTGGGCCGTGTCCAGGAGCATGAAAAACAGAATCCAGCTCCAGGATCTGCAGTGGAGCAGGACCAAAGCAAATTCCACAAAAATACTGCAGCATTTGAAACCTCTAGCAAGATGGTGCGAAATGCCATAGATGGGGGAGAAAAAAGCTGGCCAGGAGGGACGCGCCTGAAGCAGACCCCCCACCCCTCAAAACGGCTTCAAAGTACAAAGCCAGGACAGTCATGGAGCTGCAGCTAATAAAAGCAGGATAAAGCCAGTGCCGCCAGCCCTTCAGATCGAAAACCGCGGAGGAAGCACCATGTCCTCCAGGTGTGCGGCCTTGGACTGTGGCCCCTCTAAGTCCCGGTCCGCCGGGGGCCATGGGAGTGGCAGTACAGAATGCCAGGTTTGCTTGCCAGGTCTGAAATGGCTCCGGATAAGGAGGCGCCCGTCCTTTCTGTGGGGCAGATGGCCTGGCTCTGCGAAGATGCTGGTGCTGACCCGGCACGGGTGCGTCAAAATCTCCCCCACTGCAGCCCGAGACGGCAAGCCGGGGGGAGGCCCCGGGGGCCTCAAGCAGACGCCTGCCCTTCGGGGCTGGGACGTGTCCCTGGCATGCTGGTGTGAGAACTCCTGCTGCGTGAGAAAAATGGACGCCACGTTGCCAGCTTTTTCCCTGCAGGGGTGCCTCTGTGGGGACAGCTTGTGTGGAAGGCGTGGGGCAGAGGTTGTGGGGAGAGCTGCTTCTTCCTTCCTGGGGCGAGGGGCATGAGACCCGTGCAGGGGGTGCACAGGACGGGGGCCAAAACTCCATTTGATGCGCCTCCCTTTGGAAGCACTCCAAAGCTGGGGACCGCTGGCTGGCGGAGAGGAGAACACTCACTTCTTTCTGTGTGGAAAGCAAGAGCGGGAACGCCAGGATCAAGCCAAGCCGGCCTTTTATCACTCTTGCCAAGCAGAGCGGAAGACCAGAAAGGGAGTCCCGGATTCTCATCCGCAGGCCCCGGCCGACTGGACGCTGCCCACCAGAGTCGCCGCGTCTGGCCCATGTCCATGGCTGCAGCCAACGGTAGCGTCACCAAAGCCCCAGCCATTCCAATGGAGCTTCTTTGAGTAGGGATGACTGTAAGGGATCAAGCCAGACTGGCGCTGAGGGAGCCGTGCCGGAGGGAGCCGCCTTCCCCAGCCCAACCCCTTCCTTTGGAGGCCTCCCTAACCGGGCCACGCTTTGGGGGTGGCGGGTGGCGGCGATTCCTCTGCCGAGGTAGGGGGTCCCCTCCTCCTGAGGCTCTTGGTCCTGACTGGATGCCAGTGAAACGCTGGACTTCTCACGAGGCATTTCTCGTGCCTGGATGAAGCGGTTTCCAGAGCAGGCTCTCTTGTTCTTTGGGGCCATTTCTGCAGGATTCTTCCGGCTGAGGAAGGTGGTGGGAGAGCTGAGCCTCTGTCCCCGCAGGCCACACAGGGGGTGCCTGAGGGAACACCCAGCGAAAGAGAGGAGGCTCCCGGAGAACGGCATGGAGAGCAGCCCCCCTGAACCCCTTGAGGGCTCCCCAGGCAGAGGCCTCAGCGAAGCGGCAGGGCGACGGCTCAAGCACAGCGAGCTGGCAGGCGGACGTCACCATGGAGAAGCCTGGAGCGCTCCGCAGGATGCCTGTGAGCTGCGGGACGCTGGAGCGCCCCTTTGTGCTCCACAGCCATGCAAGTCCGGGGATACTCACCCTCTAGGCATGCACAGAATCGCCTTGCGTGAGCGAGAAGCAATGTGAAGCAAACAAGCCTTGTTTACGGAACAGGCAGACAAAACTTTTTCGTACCAGAAGATTGCAGGAATGCAGTTAACTCTCTGGCTCTCTAGCCGTGAGGGTCACTTAGCAAGGAGCGCCTCATTCCTGGTTGCCCTCTGGCTTTCCCTCAGACCGCTGCCGCCTGGTGGACATGCCTGCCAGCGGCCAAAGCCAAAACAAGGGCCCCCAGAAGCCGCCCCTCCGGCACACGAGCTGGAGAAAATGAGGAGACAGCTTTTTCATCTCGCCACTGCTGCTGCCTCCCGGAGCAGAGCTTCCCAAGGGATTCCGGGTCCTTTGTGGACTTTTACCGTCTCCCCTTCTCTTCTCTCTTGAGCCCATCAAGAGCGCTGAAATCCCAAGGTTTTCCTCCATCCTGTCCCAAGAAGTCCCAGCAGCCACACACAAAGAGGCACTGCATTAGCTTTCCCTCTCCCCCCCCGCCCCCCCGCCGATCAAATCTTCAAAGCATGTGCGGATCAGTTTGGTTGACACAACAGCTCAGGCGCCAGAAGGCCTTGGAGTTTAGACACTGAAACAAATGTACAATGTTCCCGGCATGTCAGTTTTTCCAGAGCATCGGTGCCCGCAAAGCAATCCTTTGTTTGGCAAAATTGGTACCCTGCAGCCGCGGGGCGACCAGGTCTGCGCTGAAGTGCTTGCTAGGCTATTCTGCCGCACTGAATCTGATTGATGAACATTTCCCGAAAATTAGCTTTAAAGAAAGAGAAGGCGAAGAAAGGCTTGTGGGTCAGGGTGAGAAAAATGGAAAAAGCAACTTCCCTCTGATTTGCTCATCCCCCTTTGACCGCCATTCACACATTATTGTGCATCGAGCGCACCCTTGACGGCCATCTGCACATTCCTGAGGGGCCCACCGGGAGGGGTCTGCCCCCCCCCCGCCGCAAGCAGCTTCTGCAGCCCCCTCCTCTCAGGCCCAGACAATAACCGTGGGGCTGAGAAGACAAGGGCTCGCTGAAGGGGGCCGAGTCCAACCGCGGCAGAGTCCGGATGTGGGTCTCGCCGGGCAGCGGGAGCCAGGCGCTGCTGAGGAGCGTGCTGCCCTGTCGGGACAAGGCCGTTTGGAGGAGGGCAGGGCAGGGAAGCCCCGGCGGGGGGAGCTCTTTCTGCTCCGGGGACGGGGCGGCCTTGCTCCGGCCAAGTGCGGAAGCCCTGCGTCCAGGGCAGCGGGGGGGGGGGGGGGGGGGGGGGGGGGGGGGGGGGGGGGGGGGGGGGGGGGGGTCGCAAACTTGCTGACTTGGGAAGATCCGAGGGCTGCCCCGGCCCAGCGCCCGCCGGGAGGCCGAGAGCGGAGCGCGCCGCCTGCCAGAGCCGCGGAGGGCGGGCGCGTCCTGCCGGCAGCGCGGTTTGCGGCCGGGCGCCGGCTCCTGGCCCGCTCCTGCAGCAGCGGAAGCCCGCGGGCCAGGCCGCCTTCTTGGTGGTCGGGGCGTCCTGCGTACGGCTTCCCGGCAGCCCCGCACCGCCAGGCCCAGCCGGCCCAGCCCCGTCCCCCTTTCCCCTCCCGGGGTGTTTGTGTTGGTGCGGCGCGTGTCCCCGAAAGGATCGTCCGACCATAACGACAATAGCTGTTTTAAAGTCGGTCCAAACAGAGAGTCCTTCAGGCAGATCCAAGAAGCTGCGCCGTGCGAAAGCCGGACTCGCCGGGGCGGGGAGCCTCTGCAAACAGTCCCCGCGAAGCAGGCGGGCACCGGGGCTGAGGCCGCCC